CTATCACAAGTACCCAAATCATAGACTTAGTCTCTCGGGAGTTCTAGAGCGAATGCGTAAATACGTAAAATGAAGAAAAACGGCAGCATTGGACAAGCTGTGGCGGGAGGAGGTGGGGGGCTGGAGCAATTATCAAGTTGGCTAGTTCTTCTTATTATTATGATTTATTATAGATCAGTAAAGTGAACAGAAGAGAAAAACACCGGTCACGAACATTTTGCTACATAAAACTGGTAAAAAAGGAGTCAATGGAAAAAAAAATCAGAGAAGTATACGGGTGGTAACAAGATGAGGGTTTAACTCTTGACAGTTAGGCAGACTTACTGGTTCCTAATAACTTGTACGTTCGACCTTGGTGAGACACGAATCATATGCAGCTATCGGCAAAATGTCCCCACCAAGCCAAATTGCGCCCGAGAGCAAACTAATCTAACCAAATTCCGAGCTGAAATGAGGCAAGAAAGGGTAAGAGAGTGTTCTGTTCAGGTGCTGAAAGCGCGAACACACCAACAGTGCTTACCGGATATCTCGTACTCAACTTGTCGAAAAGAGTAAAGGCTTTGTGTTAGAAATCAACATTATACCCGTACAAGTGCCCTGTCCAGGATGAATGCGTAGCCTTGGTTTTTCAGGGTAAAACGAATCACGAATCATGCGTTCTGCAGAGATAGGTCAAATATGCCGTTTGTAAGGGAACTAAAATGACAAGTGTAGGTATCGCTCTGCAGAATCTTCACAGAAGCGCTCGCAAAGGTGAAGATGCAGAGTGACCCGATTTCGGAGAATTTGTTTCAGTTCGCTGAGGACGACTCATCGAATTACTCTTGTAATATGTCTGAAATGCTCTCTGGACAACCCTAAGCTGGAACTTACATGAAAGCACAAGAGATTTCCTCAAATTCTAAATGCCATGCATGCCGTTCAGAACAATGTTAAATTTTCCTTGCAAAAATTATTCGTCTGGACATAAATGCCAAAATCGCATTCGGAAAATACAGGGGGCCAGTGAAAAAAACCACATTTCTTCCCCGACATTAGGCGATATAAGTTACACTTTATTGAATTCTGATTTGACGTTTCCACCTTCTACAACACATTGTACACTATCACGATACTCCGCCACAGCCTTCGCCATCGAGAGATTCTGCCACGCGACCGTGATTCGGTGCCTGAGTTCAGCGAGGTCGTTGATTTCTCCGCCACTGTAGACCACCCTGTTGAGCTCCGGGACCCGGTAATCCCGGGGGTTTACGTCAGGTAACACACTCGAATATTCCCTCTTCTCCAGGTTCTCGACGACCTTTGATTCCAGGTGAGCAAGAGTTTTTCCATCGCCCGAAGTTCCAAAATGGTACAGGCGACGACATGAGGGCAGGATATTCTTCTCGAGCTGTTCGATGCACCACTCTGCGTTCACTCTCAGTCCGGGGTCCACGAGAAAATATCCTTTTTCCATCCAAATCCGTCCATACCCATCAACTAGTCCTTGGCGACTACGTAGAAGATGATATCCTGGACCATAGTCTGCTCGATTCCAGCTACTGACATTATTGTCCGAATCGGGACTTTCACGGCTTGCCATAACGTGTGCCTACCTTGTGCATCACCCAGAAAGCTTTTCACCATCCAAACCTAAGTGGTAAGTGTAAATGGAAATTGTCCGTTCCGCACCCTCCATCGCACAGTGCCACGCGCGTCGGAGCTCAAATCCGGACGCGCTCAGCACTCGGCACCACCAAGCTTCTACCTCTGGAGAAAGAAATGGCACCAGATCTGTCTGAGAAGACAAAAATACCGGCCTGCACATCGAGTGGCTCCCGCAAGTCATTGTGTAGGCCGTATCGCATTCAATCTACCACGAGGATCCTAAATGGAAGTGAAATGCGTGCCGCCGAAATTAGATTGAGCAGTGGCAAAGCTTTTATCTTTTCACCCCAACTCACCTGTAAAAACTTGAACCTCCTTACAGTTAAAGGGGAACATTCCGTTTCAGGGTAGTGGCGATATTTGATCATATGATTGCGCAGTTGTAGCCGTAAATGTGGGAACGTGACAGATGTGCAGCTGATAAGGTCGGTTTTAAGGAAGGTCGAGAGCATTTGCTTTTTGCCTTTACTCTGAAATGAAGCTCGTTATTTTTGCAGGTAAGTTTTATTTTATTCATCGGAATCGTTCCTGATTCTTGAATGCCGATTTTCCAGCTACGCTATACAGCGTAGTGCTTTCCATGCCTCATGATATAAAACTCGATGGTGGCATTGACGAGTGTGGTGCAAAGGATGCGAGGAAGTTCAAGCTTATTCAAACTGGAGACGGTCAGTAGCGTTACATCACATTATTGTAGCAATTGCAGTAACAGTTATGCCATGAGTATTTTTCTTCGGAAATGATGCTGCTATCAGTTTGTTCCTTGAAAACTTTCTTATTCTGGAAATTTTCTGGAATGCTTGATATCCATCCAAAAACCGCCGGAAGCTAGACAGTAGACTTCCACATTTTCAACGGCTCCACTTTCAGATAAGATGGATATTGCCTGTGAACTGTGCCTCGACCTGGTCCTAATTGCTGAGACGTACGCTGAATGTGGAGAGGTCAGTGTAGTTAAGAATAAAAAGATAATACTGATAAAGTCTCCGCCAGTGATTAGTTCCCTTTGGGGATGCGGCACGCATTCTACTATCCATTCAGAATCCTAGTGGCTTGCGATGTGGCCTTATACAATGACTTGCTCGGGCCAGCCACTGTACAAGTCACTGTTTTATCCTCCCATACTGGTCTGGTAACAGTTTACAATTCCGGGAAGATAGGCTTGGTTGGCGTGAGCAGAAGCCAAAAGCAGATTTTGATCTCCGGGCCGTGCGTGTGGTAAACGTGTCACTTGCCACTACACCACTTTCGCCTGTACGTTATGGTGTTTTATCTGAAGCGAACGCAGCATGCTGAGCTCTTTATTGACGAAGAGGGACGGCCTTTCTGACCGTGTGGTGTT